GACAATTAATACCGACGTGGGAGTTCACGCGTTAGCTTTAACCCCTTGCCATACAATGACGAGTGAGATTCACGATGAAGATTTCTAGATTGATTTAACAAAAATCAATGTTGTTTATTTCTCACGGATCAAAGCAAAAAACCATTTTGCTATTATCAATGTATTATCTTGAAATTAAATTTCTGCTTAAAGTAGAATGGAAAATTCTGTTGTTTCTCTTCCAAATTGCCGATAGTAGAATGTTACACGAGCTTAGTAGAGAAAGTAAATAATATGTCAAGGGGTTAAGGAGAAAAGACAAAACACGTCTTGTCCCTTTGAAGAACTTTTAATGGATGGAATAAACGTTTACAATAACTGAAAAGCGTATTCTAAAATTTACATTATTCTTTGCAGTCAGAAAGTCATTAATCCAAAGAACGTGTAGAGTTATATTTGACACTTTGACTGCCACGGTGGTCACCGATGGCCGAAGCTTCCAAATTGCTGAAGAACAATTACAATGAAAAACTTGATTTTAAATAAAAATATTTAGTAACATAAGTAGCTAGATCATAGCGTAATACGATTATTGTAATACTAAATCATTAAGATTAAGTATTACTATTCAAAACGCTAGAAATTCTCGTGGCAGTCAACGTGTTAACACGTTCGCTACCAGTGTCACGTATTTGTAACGACCGTAATCCTATATTTTACATAATGAAAATGAAATTAATCCTATAGATATTATTATTAGAAATGATAAACTACGACATTATACTTAGGAACTCAATGATTCGTTTCAGTCTCATTTTTCTAATATTTTGTTTAGAAGATTTGATGAATTGAAGAAAATATTATAATTGAAAAGAGCGTCACCAAAATAAGCGGTGGTAGCGAATGTGTTAATGTGTCAGGTAAAAATCTTTTAATCAGTTATCGACAGTCGCTGTACGATCTCTTGAAGCAATAATAATTTTGTTATACCCGATGGCTTTCTAAGTTTATTAACGCGACACAAAGCTAATTTGCTCAATTGATTTGTAAGAAGAGAAACTAAAGAAATCTATTTCCTTTATTTAGGATTCTTTCCTGTATTGGATTTAATTTACCATCTACAGGCTAGTAGAGATGTATATCGTTGTTGTTCTTATATCGTATATGCGTATGCAATGGGATATATTGAATATTCATGACAACTGAACTCCATCGAACTTCCTTTCTAATTCCGAATCTTATGTTTAATGTACTTATTCCTATTACACATAATATTATACTAATCGCTCTAAATGCAGCTGCCTATACTAAAATGAAAAGAAGTGTGTCCTACAATTTTTAATCACAAATATAAATTTACTTTATTTACAAGTAGAAACAGATATTACAACTATGTAGCCAATGTTGTCGGTAAAATCGGGTTCTACTTGTAGATAAAGTAAATTACTGTTTATTAGAAATCTCGTTTAATTATACATTTAAAATTCTTTTGTTAATATCCGTGATTTTCTTCTTGTAAATATTCAATTAGAAACAAGCCGTCATGGAAGTTGCTTGATAAAATATTACAACGTTATAATTTAGTGAACATTTTAAATAAATAATATATTGAATATAGAAACACGTCACAACCAAGATGAGGTCTCTCCATCTTCTGTGAAACGTGCGAACTCTGCTGTCTAACAGTTCTAGCGTTTTGAAACGGATGGCGCCACAGTCAGTCCGAGTGAATTTCTGCATCGGTAACATTTGTCTACCAGTTTGAGCATTTTACCACGGATGACGCCACCGTCAAAACGCGAATTCTTTGGAAGCAGATAATTCTTGCCGCTGTACGCGTTATATGCAATGTAGAGAATGGCAAGAATTATTCGTTGTTTTGGAAAGGTTCGTTTAAATTAGTTTATTTTAATTTGTAGCCTTTATCTCGATATTATTTTGAATCTATAATCCCTTAGGAAGAGTAATTTAAAGGAAGAATATATAATCCCTAAGGAAGAGTAATATTAAATTCCTTAGCAGAGTTCTTCTTTCTTAAGGCAAATTTGTAACATAATTGTAATATATTTGTAAAATAATGATAGCATCGTTGTAAAGGAGTTATAGTAATAGGAAAATAAAATAAAATAAAAATTATATCAATAAGTAATCAGTGTCACATTGATATTACATAAATGGGAAGTGAGATTCAACTGAAACGAAGCTGAGATAAGTTAAATTGAAATTGCATTATTATGAAATCAATATGATATTCATATTAAAGGAAAAGTGAGATTGAACTGAAACGAGGTTGAAATATTAATTTGATGGAATTAATTATTACTGTAAAAAATTAACTGATGGAATTTAAGCCAAAGTGAATGGAACAAAAGTAGAATTTGGAGGACAGGTGAAATTATGTAATTATATCTTAATTATATCTCTAATTATATATAATTATATCTTTGCACACATTAATTTAATTATTATACATATCGCGTTCGTGTGCTGACGTATCTTGCTGCCTGCAATAAACCTTACTAAAGTGAAACTTAATTAAATATTAATTATTCCTCAATCTTCTGGGAGCGAGGATGCTGTGTTAATCTCACTGATAGCATGCAGTATCTTCTCCAGTAACAAAAGTTCATAAATTGTGTCACAACGCGGTGTAATTAAAGAATTATCATGTATCGAATGTTGTCACTGAAAGGAGACGGGAATAACGTAAGTATTGAATACGCTTTTTCTAATTAAGTATGTTGAACGCCAGCACGAAATACGTATGTGAATATAGCTACAACTCTTCTCTAATTGTTTAAATCATAAAATTTCAGAAAATATGCCTGAACAATGAGTAAATAGCAAATAATCTCGAGCTCACATTGCAGCTAGAAATATTCAAACATGGCGAGAGAAAGAACGTATATATGTATGTACGTCTCACTCTAAACATAACCTCTCTTTATCTAATACCTCCATTACTGTTCTGTGTTCTTAGTAATGCAGGACGAATTTTCCACGGATTTTATGCGAAAAGATTTTGGTTTCTCTGTCTTTCTCCCACAATTACGTTCTTTGCCAAGAGCAGAAAGGTGAAATGGTGTCAATCTTCAGTTTATTTATTTATTACGATATTTAACGCATTGCACTTCTATTTTTAAGTACTCTGACAATAATTCAATGGATTTTACTAATTCAAATAAGGACGTATAGTATTTAAGGAAGAATAATTCAGACTATATTGATTACTTTAGAACAAATACTTTGTTGCTCAGAAATATTATATTACTACATTAATTAATATTATGTGTTATGATTAATATTATTATGTATATATAATTTTTATTTTATTATTATTATTACTATATATATTAGTATACAAATATAAAGTCATTTCAGATTGCAACTTGTAGTATCTGTATTGTTTTTGTTCATATGTTTATTAAATAATATTTATTACATACTGTTAGAATATATATGAATAAAAATAATACAGATACATCAAGTTACAATCTGAAATGACTTATCATGTATATTTATGTAAATTCTTTGTGTCTATATAACCTACAGTCAATCACTGTCAATAAAACATCATTCTGAATTGATACCGTACCAGCTCGTTACTTATTTACTTTTTCGTATTATAATAATTATTCTCCTATCCCAGCGAATCCCAATGAATTTTAACAGCGGGACCTTCCCTACTTCTTTCTTTGAGAAGTTTCAAAGATTTTTGAAATTTGAAACTGTTGCTAATAAAATTTTTCAACGTTGTTTTTGCGTCACAAGGTTGTGAATTTCCATGATAAACTAAACAATCGAATTTAGAAACATTTTACGTATACCGAAAGTATGAAGTGAATAATGGTAATAAAAAATTAATAATATATATTTAATGATTAATAATTAATAATTAAAAATTATTGTACATATCTAATTATTAATTAAATTACATAATTATATTACAGATTAATTTTTATTATTTTTTCGAATAGCAAATTCCAAAACCATGTTAAAAAGCCACATTAATTATTGTCAAACTTGAATATTTCCTTCTATGCGGCTGCAACGAGGATTCTTCGAGTTTCACTCGGCTCCGGTATTTTAAACGTTGCAGGACCGATGGCATCTTCCGCGATCGAAGAAGAAACGCGGAGAAAATGACGAAGAGAGGCAGGATTTGCGCAATATTGAACGAAAGTTCCGCGATTAGAAAAGAAACGAGCCTCGCGCGTCGTGAAACCAGGGCCTTGACATTTGCTTCGTTTCTTTTCTGCGTCTCGGACGTTCACGAACCTTTTCTTCGCGGCAACGGGTTCGCAACGTTGTCCACACATTATGGTGAATTAACAGAAACCAAGAAAATTCATCTCTTCGCTTGTTAGACCGTTTAAAGGATTCAAACGGCTACCTCCATCTCCGCCATTTTGGAGAACTCGATTACTGCGACGGATATTGCACTTGTATCAGCATTTCGGATAAATAAAACAAGTATATGGAGACAATAATCAATCATATTCAATATTCATCGAACAATTTAGAATAATTTCAATACTTATTCATTCAACAACGTTATTTGTTAAATTACAATTTACAACAATAATAAAACAAATATCACAGAGATAGTAATTGGTAAGAGTAATATTCAATATTCATTGAATAAATAAGAATAATAACAATTTAATATTAAACATTGAATAATGTTATTTATTAAATTACAATTTACAATATCATCAAGGCAAATGTCACACAGGTAATAATTATTAACATTCAATATTTATCGAATGAGGGTTAAATAGTTATTTTCCGGAGCTTTCCAATTCCCGATCATAATTGCAACGATCGGACCGATCGCAAGGGAATAACGGACGAAAATAGAAAGGTTGCGCAACGGCACCCGAAAAAAAGGCCCGAGGACAACGCGGTCGGGGTCCACGGATGAGAAAATCGCGACGAACCACGTCGTCTGTCGGTTTCTACCTCGCCTCTCCTCTCCGGCAGCCGGCGAAGATGATAAAAGCTCGCCGGGAAGAGGCGCACGGACGTAGTGCCTGTTTCGGGAGCGGGACGACAGCAGCTCGTGATGGCCTCGAAGACGATCGTTCATCTGGCGATTGCCTGCGGCGTGATCGCGCTCGGGACCCGTGAGTACTAGATCACTGGATGGCTAGACTCAGGAATGGGGGTCTCATTGATCAGCTTTCATCTCATTTTCGATACTAATGTGCTATTGACAATACAGTGACATGTAATCAATGAAGACCATAAACAAAGTCTCTAGCGGTAGACCTGTCTTGTCCCTGTTAATTCTTGCTAAACATCAAGTGATTTTATAATGATATAGTTAGGACATCACTGGATGGCTAGGCTGAGGTATGAACGTCTCATTGATCAGCTTTCATCTCATTTTCGATACTAATTTGCTATTGACAATACAGTGACATGTAATCAATGAGGACCATAAACAAAGTCTCTAGCGGTAGACCTGTCTTGTCCCTGTTAATTCTTGCTAAACATCAAGTGATTTTATAATGATATAGTTAGGACATCACTCGATGGCTAGGCTGAGGAATGGGGGTCTCATTGCTTAGCTTTCATCTTGTCTCATCTTATTTCGATACTAATTTGCTATTAACAATACAGTGACGCGTAATCAATGAAAACCATAAACAAAATCTCTAGCGGTAGACCTGTTTTGTCCCTGTGCAGTTTGGCTAGACATCAAGCGATGATCATCCAATAGTAGATCTCCGAGTCCTGCAGAGATCACGCGTGAAAGCGGCGCCGGGGATTTCTGTGAAATCGTCCTAACGCGGTGACGAATGTTGTGCACGGTTCGATCCTCCCTAACACTTTCCCTTGTTGCCAAGCTGCGCACTAAGGCAGCATCAGTGGTAAACGCCACAAATATTGGCTGAGTCTCACATCAGGACACTAATGCTTCGCACGAATAAACTTCATATTAAGGTTTTGAGTCCTTTAGACTTCAAACGCGAGATACAGCCTTCATTCATACAATATTATCAAGATATAAACATTAAATATTGAATGCAGATATTATAAAACGTTTAACACGTTCGGGCGTCACATATGGCTATATCAAAATGCCACGCGTATATGACATTTACGTAAACCTTTAAAGCTTTGTTAGGTTCGTCCACTACACTTGAAATGTGTGAAAATTATACGAACAACATATTACGTGAAACAATTGCAAGAATGACGCAGTGTGCAGTAAGAGTATTCCAAATTTGACCGTGTCCGCGAACGTGTTAATTTTCAGGATTTCTTTGAGGACTCTCAGGAAGATCAACTGTAGCGGATGGGTAGTTGTTTGGGTTAGCTTTTTAGGGTATCCAGCTGAAAACTAGGGGTTGATGCTCTTATTCCTTATTTCTGATGTGGTTCGCGAATTTTTTGCTCAGAATAGACAAAGATGATTTTAGTACGTCTGACTGCAGTTGATTTCCTTCAAATTGATACGAACTGAACGATACGAAGACAGACAAAGACGGTTATGAAAATTATACGAAGACGAAGCAACTGCTCGTTTGATGGATTCATCAAACTAAACTAAAATCAAATGAACACTATCCCTGAAGAGATTAACAAAGCACTTGAAACATTTTCAAAATTCTTCTCGGAACTTGATGGACTCTGGAAAAAATGGAATTTTGCAGTAGTCCAGCTCCTGTGGAAACAGATTTGCCTATCAGCTGACTGTATATACATTCTTGAAGTCCTTAATCCTTTTTAGTCCGTCATGCTGGTGTCCATCAGTTCCCAGAAGCGTGAACTCGGAATATTCATCGTTCTGACCGACATTGAAACAGCAGCTGTATATTAACAGAAATTCCTGGACGTTTCATTTGCATACCACCAGCGCATCCTTCGGGATTCCCGCGGCTTGAATCGTCCGAACTTTCAGGCTTCGTCCCCGAGCGCCTCGGAGAGTGACAAGTGACGCAACGCCGCCGATGGCGTTGAATATTTCAATGGTAGCCTGTCACGCGTCGAATCTCAATGACACTATACGTATCTTTGTTTTTTATCGGCTCATTCAATCGTGGAAGAAGCAATGAATCTCCTTTTGGTAATCGAATGGTTTGGAATAATGGTCCAACTACATTGTTACTGAGATCTTCAGGGAAAAAGGATTTGTGGAATGTGGGATTGATTGGATAATATTGCAATGTTATTAATTGTGTTGGTTGGTATTGGTTATTGATGTTGACGTTATTGATAATATTAATTGATATTAATTTTCGGTATTGATGGTGTTAGTTATGTTAATTAGTGGTAGTTACTAATGTTGATGATATTAGATAGTGATATCGATTACTGTTGATATGTAATGATATTAGGAATATTGATTATTACTAGTTATGAATATTCATGATATTATATAGTAATATTAATTAGTACTACTTATCAGTAGTGACGATATTGGTAATATCAGTCGCTACTCGTTATTAGTATTAATGATATTGCATGGTAATATTAATTAGTATTAGTTATCAATATTAATAATATTAGTAATATTAATTACTAATAGTTATTATTATTAATGATATTATTATTAATTACCTGCAGTTATTAATACTAATGTTATTAATTATATTAATTACAATTATTAATTACTATTAATATTAGTAATGGCAGTATTAGCGTTTAATTAATTCAACAGTATTCAGAAATTCAGAAATAGAAGTCAGACCACTATTATTTTTAACCACTCAATTATCTCTCGTATGAATAATCGATCAACTAGCTTTGTTTACTCCCGACCAGGAAAACTGTGGAGACTTTGAATGGGTACCTCATTAGCTTCGAAAGTGATAATCGTTGTAGAACTTTTCTTTCCTGGAAAATAAACTGAAACTACATAATGAAATTATAAGATTAGAAGTAATAAAGTTATATTTTCTAATTATAAATAATCAGATGAATAAAATAATAATTTTATTTTCAACATAAATCTCATGCATTCCCAAATAAATTGAATTAAGTATTAATACATAGATTTGAAATAGTATACTGATGAATAATTATAATAATTCAATTTAGACAGCAATTCAAAGAATATTAAAATAACAGCTCAGACATGATTGAATAGCAGTGATCGAACTTTGTCGGTGTTCTAAAGGATTTATAGGCTACGATCTTTCTGTAATTGGTTACGTAATTGATTAGAATGATTTTAAAGGCTCGGCTGAGTGACAGCTTCCGGAAACTGCAAAATCTAGCAATCCATTATCTCCTTTAATCAAGACTAAGAATCTTAGAGTTGATCGAGCTTCATTTTAATTGAGCTGAGGCTATAGTTCGAGGGTTTTACTGGTTGGCCAATGTTTCCCAACAAGTTATATAAATTCCTAGGATGATCTCAGAGGCTCAGGGCAACGACAGCCTCGGGTAATTGCAAGATCTTGCATTCAGTTACCTCTTTTAATTGAAAGAAAGAACATCGAAGGCATTCAAACTATTTTGTCGTTGAGTTCGAAGTGAGATCTAAGGGATTTACAATGGAACTTACACCGAAGTTCGAAGGATTTATGGGGTGACAACCTTTTTTAAACGCATTGTGCGAACACTTAGAAAGAATTTAGAGATTTAAAGTAACAACCGTGTTTAAAGATAGCAGACTGTAGAATGTAATTACTTTTTTTCATCGAAATGAAGAGTATTAAAGGTAATTGAATTTATAATATAATTGGACTTAAACTGAAATTTTGGAGGTTTACGAGGTACTAAATGTTTCTCAATACATTATACAAAATTCTGAGATGGTTTTAAGGACTCAGAGCATCGTTAACTTCCAAAAGTCGCAAGATATAGTACCCAATTACCTCCTTTAATTAATATGAAGGCTCTTGAAAGTGATCAAACTTTGTTCTACTTAATGTAGAACCAAAATTCTAGGGACTTGTTTAATTCCAAACGTTTCCCAATACATTACATCAATTCCCACAGAAACAAAGAGCAACAATAATTTTCAAAAATCTAGTTAGCAGTTACCTTTTTTGATAAAAATTAATCACAACTACATTATAATTGTTCTTACAACACAAACCTAAGAACTTATTCGATGCCAAACGCTGCCCAACGCGTTACATACATTTTCAAAAAACTAGGAGCAATAATAGCTTCCAAAAATTGCAAGATGTAGTACTGAATTATCTCTCTTAATCAACATAAATAACGCTACATTATAATTGCTTTCAAACCAAACTTCTAGAGACTTCTCTGGTGTCAAACGTTTCTCCATACATTACATAAATTTCCGAAAAAACGAAACGCAACAATAACTTTCAAAAATCGCTAGAGTTAACATTCAATCACCACTTTTAATTAAAATTAACCAAACTGTATTGTAATTGTTCTCAAAGCAAACTTATAGGAACTTACTCGATGGTAAACGTTTCTCAATACATTACATAAATTCCTGAAAAAAATAAACGCAACAGTAACTTTCAGAAAGTTATTGAATATATTAAATAGAGATTGTTAACTCTAGTGATTTCTGAAAGTTATTGTTGCGTTTATTTTTTTCGGGAATTTATGTACTGTATTGAGAAACGTTTGCCATCGAGTAAGTTCCTATAAGTTTGCTTTGAGAACAATTATAATATAGTTTGGTTAATTTTAATTCAATTACCACTTTCACTGAAAATTAATCAAGCTATATTATAATTGTTCTGAAACCACAAATCTAGGGACTTACCCGACGTCAATCGTTTCCCAACGCGTTACATAAATCCCATTGATGATCCCAGGGCAACAGCTTCCGGAAACAGGTGAATCCGGCGGTCTGTCGCGCCGCGGGCGTCCAATCGGAGCAGAATCCTCAGAACCAGGTTTCGTAAGGTGGCTTATGCTAATGCAGGCCCGGCGCTGCCGCGGAGGTCGAATCCCATCGCCGAACTTTCTCCGTGGAGTTCAGCGTGCGCGTGTGCACGCTCGACGACCGGTTCTCTCGTCTTCAAGGTGGTCGCGTTATGTAACGGGCCAAGGGTTACGCAATCCCATCATACACCTGTGTGCTGTGCAGATAGAGATCTTGCCCGTGGAAAATTGGAAAAATTATTTTTTCTTTGTTTCATCTATGTGCTTTTGATATAGAGATTTTCCTCGTGTCAAAATGGGAAAGTCCTTTTTTCTCTGTCTCATCTATGTGTCTTTATTTGAAGGATTTTCCTTGTGGAAAATTGGAAACGTTATTTCTTTTTGTTTCATCTATGTGCTTTTGATATAGAGATTTTCCCCGTGGAAAATGGGAAAGTTTTTTTTCCTTTGTCTCGTCTGTGTGTCTTTATTTGAGGGATTTTCCTTGTCGAAAAGTGGAAAAGTAATTTTTTCTTTGTTTCACCTGTGTGTTTGAGATTTAAAGATGGTTTTCGGGAAAAATTAGAAAAATTAGTTTTCCTTTATGTTACTTGTGTGCCTTTATATGAGGGATTTTCTTCCTGAGGAATTAAAAAATTCTTTTCTCTTGTCTCGCTTGTGTTTACTTAATTGAGGGATTTTTCTTGTGGAAAATTAGAAAATTCGTTTTTCTTTATTTCACCTATGTGTTTTTGGTTTAGATATCCTACTCATGGAAAACTGAAAAAATTCTTCTTCCTCTGCTTTCCTTGAATATCTGGGATTCAGACGTGGTTCTAGTAGCGAATTGGAAAAATTTGTTTCCTTCGTCTCTCCGTTGGATTTGATCGTAGTTCGTGGACGGAATATGTTGAGAGTGACTCGGAAATTTATTCAAGTGTCTTTCAAAATATAACAATACATACGAAAATATAACAATATGACAGAAATAGTTCAAATATTCTTATTTATTATGTGTAAGTGTTCAGAGCTGAGATAAATATTAAAAGAAATATTGTACACGATTATAAAAAGCAAAGGCGACGGAGATTAGTAAATTGTTGAATGTAAAACAATACTGTAATTAATGTAGTTTCTCCACTGTCACTTAAGTTAACACGTTGAATGCCGCGCGATGTCATAAAGCAAATTACACGAACTGACGAAAATAGAATATTTATTAAGATTAAATTACTTATTAATTAATTATCATTAATGCACGTTCATGTAGCTGAATGTCACCGCATTCATTAGCATTATTAATAATATAGAAATGTTTTCAAATAATCATCGTTTTATTCGGTGAACTATAATAATTCGATTTGGTTGGGGGTCACTGGTGATCCTCATGGCATTCAACGTGTTAAATGACATTCTATATTTTCCTCTAATAACACTTAAAACTTTCTTTATTTTTTATAAAAACCGTTTAAATCTTTTCTTCACTTTTCACGTGTAACTATGATTTTCAAAAATTATCAGCATTAACACTAAAATTATCAGGCTAGTCAAAATGATCCATCTGAAAATCATTGTTCCACACTGATGAAAACTAAGATGCTTTGGTGAAAAACTATAAAGCTATAAAAAACTATAAAAAATCACTTTAATTGCTCAGTAGTTTTTAGTGTTAATTATTTCTACATTTATCTATGTTCCATATTTTTATTCACATTTTAATTCTTTCCTGTACACCAATAGGACAAAATAATAATAAAAGTGATAACCGAAACAAAAAATCACTCTAATTGCTCGGTAGTTCTATCGTTAATTATTTCTACATTTATCTGTGTTTCGTATTTTTATTCACATTTTAACACTTTCCGGTACACTAATTGGATAAAATAATAGTAAAAGTGACGACTGAAACGAATTAGTCGGTTTCGTAAAACAGTTAGGAAACGAGACGGCATGGAGTATTGAAATAAGCAGCGTGCAGCGGTTTAATAGTCCGCCGTTCGAAATTAAGACCCACGTAACAGTCTCATCTGCGCCGGTATTTCCTCTAACTCGGATCGGAATTATATTACGCAAAAGGTTACTGTATTCCTACTGATTTTGAAATCCCGTTGAACAGCGAAATTACTTTAGTCTACACAACGATAATGCAGTAATATTCTACTTAATGTTTTAATCTGCAATTGCAACTGTCTCTATTATGCGGAGGAGCCGCAGAATTCATTAAAATTCACATTTCCAGGTAACCCAGTATACGGTTCGTTACAGTTAAATTGAAAGACTTTTATCCAGTTTAAACCTTTGTGGACGAGAATTTGTTAAATTTGTGGAGAACTTTTTTATAAAAAGGCTGAGTTGTGTGCATCGAAGTCTTAAATACTAGAAAAAGCAAAATTAGATATCAATCTGTAACTGTTTGAATAATTAAATTATTCATTTGCAACGTTCGAATTCAAATATCAAAGCAAAGGGTTAAATATCGAATTAATATAACTAAATTTTAAGTATTTAAATTCAACACACGAGTATAGATGTATTAAAAATAAAGAAAAACACTGAAATATATATTAAACACAGTCTAATATAATGTTTAAATTTAGGCGGATAGAATTAAATTACAGGCACACAAAATATAGAAATAAATATTAAAAATAAATAATTATATTTGAGACTAGTAGAAAATGTCCAGATTAGATAAAAAATACGTATTCAAATTGTATTAAATGAGAGTGAATTTAATTTCTAGATTTCTATATAAACGCAGAGAACATTTTGTTGAATTAATGATTACTATTTGTTGATTAACAGTTTCATTAGTATCGGCAAAGAATTTTCAGCAGCTTTATGTAATAATATTCTTAACGGTTATAGAAGTACTGTAAAGTATTATAATTGTTATAGAGTTAAATCATACATTAAACGAAAAGATAATTGTTCAGTTTTTTAATGAATATGTTACTTGTCTGTTGCAGCGTTGAGTCACTATCAGCGTTTCTCAAGCACAGGGAACCAGTTGGAGCACAATGTGGTGGAGAGACAATCCTCGGCGTCTTGCCCGGAGAGAAATGGCCGATTTCCGATCCCTAATCAGTGCGACGCGTACATAGAATGCATCAACGGCGAACCAGAAGAGAAGCTATGCCCCGAAGGTCTGCTCTTCAACCCCGAAGCGAGATTCAATTACCCCTGTGGTTATCCTATTGACGTCAACTGCGAGGGCAGACCTAATCGCCGTCAGTATATTAATTGTCTATATATTGTTTATCTATTATTTATTTATATATATTTATTTTCTTATTACTTATTTATCTATATCTATATATCTTATATCTATATTTATTTATTATTTATTTATATATATATTTATTTACTTATTACTTATTTATTATTTATTTAGTATTTATGTATTATTTATTTCTTAACTGTGATCGATACAACTACTTTATCATTAATAGTTTACTAGGAAAAGAAAAAATGTTTATGATCATTCTATGTCTACGTCTACTACAAAGGTTAACGATTGATAATAGAAAAGTGATATTTAATTTATATCTAAAAAAGCAAATAATATTTAGATTTGTCAAATTCAGTTAAAAATTTGCATCATGAGTCTGACGCGATATTGTAGGTCAGAGGTTAATTGAGTTGGTTATCATTTTAGTTATCTATTTATGTATTATGTTTTGTTATTTATTTATAGTAGTGTGCACTAACAATTGTGTAGGTTCTTATAACGTCTTATATATGGTTTATACAATTTTTTAAAACTTGAGTTTATTTAACGTTACCACAACTGTATACTGATCTGAACAAAATTTGTTTTCTTCTCTATTTTTTCATCCTTTTCTTCAGTTTGCTTTGATATTTTCAGGGGGATGCGTGTAAAAAACATTAAAAACAATATTGAATAAATTACACACTTCAATTTTACTATTTCCCAAGGTCATCCACATAAAATTAATTTCACCCTGGTCGAAAACATCGAAAATAAAACTAAGAAAAATATTTCAATCAAATCTAACGTTTCACAACGCCATTTCCTATTTTTCCATTAACTTAAATTTCATCATACTCTAAAGTTCATTTTTCTGGGGTTAGCTTCACCCCTGTGAAAAGACATTGAAAAGAAAATTGAAGAAATGTTCAATCAATTCTAAATCCTCAACTAGTTTCTCACTTGAAAATCAGAATTCAATGTCCCCATTTCTCGAAGACAGGTGAGCTTGATTTTACCCTCGTAAAAAGCCACCCTTCTTAAGGGATTGTTTTTCAATCTTTATAGAGCCCCCGCAGCCAACTGACGACTGTCCCCATCAGTATGGATACTTCAAGGTCGGAGATCACCAGCACTGCGGCCAATTCATGAATTGCGCAGAGGGCAGGGGTTACGTCTTCGATTGTCCCGAGGGGTTGGCTTTCAATCCGGAAACGTATCGATGCGACTGGCCGGATCAGGTTCCGGATTGCGACGCAGAGGGTAAGAGGATCTATAAGCTTGAACAAATCTCTCAACTAACAAGTGCATACTTAAGTCAGGCGGACATTTTTCACGCTTGAATAGAATTATCGAGATATTCATTCTATCCCAATCGTTTTCATTTCAGAGGAAATTCTTCTGACAGGAAGTCTAATCGGTTAAAGAATGTGTATATTTTTATAAAAATCGAGATGAGAAAGATTGTGATGAATAATTTAATGGGAATTTTTGTCGTCTGTTAAACATTTTTTAAATTAATTTTGGTAGTTATTTTTTGTTTATGTCTTATACGAAATCAAGAAACATGACAGTTTTCCCAAATGAAATGTATTAACGTGTGATGGTATATCGAATTATGATTTAGTCCATATGAAATTTATAACATGAAATAAGTAAAGTCGATTTAGAATAATATCAAAAAGATTGCATTGAATAATTTAATGGGAATTTTTGTCGTCTGTTAAACATTATTTACATTAATTTTGGTAGTTACTTTTTGTTTATGTCTTATACGAAATCAAGAAACATAACAGTTTTTCCAAATGAAATATGTTAAAATGTGATGGTACGTCGAATTATGATTTAGTGCATACGCAATTTATAACATGAAATAGGTAAAGTCGATTTAGAATAATATCAAAAAAATTGCATTGAACAGTTTAATGGGAATTTTTGCTATGAGTCAAATGTTTTTAAATTCAGAGATGTTGTTAATTTCGTGCTACAATGATGCCCGCTTAAATGTCACTAAAATCTATGGTTAAATTTCTAAGACTCACCCCCAACCTTCTCCAACCACTTAATCCTTGAGCCCGACGAAGCTCCATCTCAATAGCCAAGAATACACACATCAATAAAATACCTAGATTATAAAAAGTAAACATTCAATAAAGAATATTTCATTTGCAGTAATTTTCGTCGTACCTTTATAATCGTAACGTTAACGGATAGTCGAGATTCTTCCCATTAAAACGAACCCAAACAAGCTATAAATCGGACTGATTTTATCCGTTTGAAATCAATAACAAAATGAAATACATGGATTTTTGAAATCGATAAAATTAATCCGATTTGCGTTGTGTTTGGATTCATTTTAATGGGAAGAATCCCAGCAATCCGTTGGTATTATGATTAACAATGAAATTTTCTCTCTTGTATATTTATTTTTCCTGAGTTTTCACGTTGTATCTATTCTCTGATTTCGTCGAGCCGCGCTCGAGTCAAAAAACTGTACCCTGCCCGCGAGAATGTCACTACTGGCTCCTGAGTTTCGTGACATTTAGGCGGGTATTACTGTAAATGTTTTGAAGTTTGCCACGCGTTTTGCATATTTCTAACAGAATATTATTCATATCGAGACAACAATTAATGTCCGCAGCATTCCTCGGCTTCCGGTGTCCGGAAGCAAGGGACCAAGGATTCTTCGGTGGCGCTCCTCAGTTCCATCGGAGCGTGCACGATTGCCAGCATTATTATGTTTGCGTGAATGGTCGTCCGAGGTTGCACAATTGCGGCGAAGGGAACGCGTTCAACGAACTGTACAACACCTGCGACGCCGCAGAAAATGTCACCGGATGGTAAGGGGATTTCCCTGAATTTTCTGACATTTCCTTTTGATTTAGTGCCTGCACGAAAATTCATTAAATTTTTCCACCCTTACCTTAAGAACTTTAGGCGAGGTGCTTCTTGTAATAAATTTATAACGATTGATTTCTTCTTTGTTTCTGGTACGTGGATTGTTGAATTATACGTATAAACATCATGCAAAGTAATTTGAACTTTATTATACTTTTGAACTCATGTATTGAACGATTTGGAATTTTCATACGATAACTTTGTAGTAGTTAATTTTCTTTTTATTTTTCTAACATGAATTGTTGTAGTATTTAAATACTAATTTATTAGATTCCATTATTTTACTATCTATCTATTAATTATCTGCTTTTTCAACTATAGAATTATCTATAGTTACAATCTAGATTAAATTTCATTAAATTGTTAGGATCATATTCTGAGAAATTTCGATTTTTCTCGCAATATGTTTATAATGATTGATTTATTTTTCACTTTTGTCGCATTGATCGTCGAATTATTTGCTAGTTTAGTAGATTGTACTGTTTTACGATTTATCTACTATCTATTGGTCTAACTGTTTAATCGTATCATATAAATTAAATTAAATTTTACTCAATTTATTCAGTTCTATTCAAAGAAAATTTACCAGCTTCTTTTAATGAACCTATTATGTGTGATTTCTTTTTTGTGCCTGCCATTTCTAATTCACCATTTTGTGTTTTTCAGCGAGCCACCGGAATTATCAATTCTCGACAAACAGCTGAAGAGACCTCTCTTCTAAAGGAACACCTCAGAAAAATATATATCTTCTGAAAAGTATATGATCATTGCAGGAGCAACGGTACACAGATCAAGGAAATAATAAAATTACATCATCAATGCGTGATGTTCTCACGCAAAGTAATGAGTAGATGCGAAACAAACGCGGGAAGTATTGTATCGCGTGCGTAGATCGATCATGTGAACACGCAAGATGCCATAAACAATTGTGTAAATATACATGTGTAAGTAGTTACCTTATAAAAATCAATTATTGTTAGTACAAACTTGTATTAATTTCATAAAGAAATTATTCAAAACTAAAAACTATCTTCTTCCAAACAAAACCACCCTTACACAAAAATATCAATCAACAAATGTATCTAGATTAATTTTTATTACTGGTATTATTACTGGTATTATTCATGAAAAAATTGCTTAAAATGAAAAATTATTTTTATCTTTCAAATAAAATAAAACAGCCCCTATACACAAATAGATATTTGTAAATATTCTACATTTATTTTTATTACTGGTATAAATTTCATGAATAAATTGCTCTAAATGAAAAATTATTTTTATCTCTCAAATAAAATAAAACAACCCCTACACAAAAATAGATATTTGTAAATATTCTACATTTATTTTTATTACTGGTATTAATTTCATGAATAAATTGCCCAAAAGTAAAAATAATTTTCTTTCAAACAAAAATATTCTTAAGAAGAAATAGAAGTCAGATTTTCTCCAATAATTTTTGTTTTCCAACTATTGTTTTTTTATTATCCATTTTGTACACGTGACTTCTTATTAATATTAATAACGGCCTCATCTCTAACATATAGAGAGCTCACGAGGTGAAATAATTACGGACATACAATGTTCCCTTAAGTGCTACTTAATTCTCGTGTTCGCGACGACCAGGATCAAAAATCAATTAAACAGTGATCAAAAGTCTTTGAGCAGAATTCCTTTCTAAAACGAAACCTTGATTTCATTAAAACAACCGAATCGCGGAGGTGAAACTGAGAAAGTTAAAATTTTCAATTCAAGCCAATGGAAGTAATTCTATTTTACAAATTAAATTTTCTATTTTCATTGAAGAATTCTCATAGAAAACACCAGTTGCAAATATTGAAAAATTTTATTTTTCTATTTCTATCCTATAGTATTATACTATAGTATACTATTAGTATAAAATTTGTCTCTTGAAAGTACTCATAAATATCAGCCATCTATACTAATTACATTGAAAGATGACATTATTATAAAAAATGATTAAAAACACTTGATGTTTAGCATTTAAAATGATTTCTACGAGTATTCTTCAAATAACTTTGAATGCATCATTAACAATCAATAACATGTGGCATAGAATTAACGCTAGCCATACACATGCGAATGCAAACCGAAGACTGATACTAATTGCAAATTGGCGAAATCCACCTCCGTGATCGTGATATGTATAATTCATGCGTCCACGAATAATTTGATCGGATTTTGAATCAAGCATCGCGCGGAAACACACAGACGACGTATGGACAACGAGATCAAAGGAACGTAGAATATTATCGTACAATTTATTTTACACTGAAAAACGGACGATTAAGTATCTAAAATTCTTTGTTCATGAGGTAATTGACGATGAAGTGCTCGATCGGGGATCTCCGTGTGCGCTCGACGACGCGGATGTTACAAAAGTGGAAAAATTGCTTTTGAACATCAGAAACCTTCGCTAAACAAGGATTAGAATAATTAATATGTTTCATTTAATCCTCAGCACACTCATTTTCAATATTTTCAATAATTGTACTTCTTAATTTTCTTCATTTCTAATATTTTCAATAAATTTTATGAATCAGTTGTTACAGTTCATTTTATAGAGTAGAAACGACAGATAAATACATATTTCTAAGATATTTCTTAGAAATATGAGTTTTATTAAACTCATAATTTTTGGTAGTGTTTTCATTGATTTTAATAAAACATAAAAGTAACGATCAATAACAGACAACGATAGTAACAACGCAAAACGAACTAAGATAACAATAAAGAAATTATTTAAACTCTGCCTAATAGAGATAGTCGACTTTTTCATCCACGTATGCTAAGGATTAACTCGATCTTTATCGAGAAACGATTTCTAATTATCAATAGGATCGTTACCATGGAATTTTAATAAAACGATAACGAATTGATTAAAGCGTTTGCACACGGAAAATTGTCATTTCCCGCCACGATAATGATAATAACCACATCCACGCACACGCACTCACGTGTACTACTTACATACACACATAAACACGCACGTGTATACACATAGAAAACATCCATCTGCATGTAATATACAGGACAGCACGCAATGTGTTGATTAATCACTTTTTACAAAGGAGAGAACGTTGCACGGTGGAACCTCGTTAACCCGGATTAATTGAGAACGATAAATGAAGTAATGATTCTGGGGAATATTATAATGGGAACGGTGCTTGTTGACCGATTTTGTCGAAGCGGAGCCGGGTTAATGGGGTCCGCTGCAATTCCACGGGTGTGTAAATGCAACAATGTACAAAAATAAATAGCTAATCCATTCTGCTCGAATTTTCATTCGAGCAATGGTTTGATTGCGTTTGTTTGTGATTGACGTTGGTAAATTTGAGAGGGGTTCGTTGCAAAAGTATTTACACTGTTGCTCGTTGGTATCAAATTATTATGGTAGTAAGCTGGAGATGTGGAGCAATATAAATTAAATTTAATTTTGAATTAAGTTTGTGGATGTTTGTAGATGTTTGAACCTGTAGACTGAGTTTTTAAGAAAAATATCAGATTATTTCTTTTTATTTTGAATGTTTGCATTCTGAGTGTTGAAAAGTCTAACAACGGTTTGAATCGTTCTACTGGGAATTTCGTTACTGTAAAACTGTACCAAACTATATCAAACGTTGTCAGATTCGATCCTTAAATATGTTGATTGATTGTTATCTTTTATGCCGAGTATTTATGTTTTGAGTGTTTACAAATCGAAAAATTGCTAACTGAGGAGTTTGTTATTGCTCGGTTAAACTGTATCAAACTGTATCAATCGTTGACAAACCTAATCTTTAAAGAACTGCTATTGTAGAAAATTACTATAAAAGATATAGAAGAAGAAATTAATATGTGTACAAAAGTATCATACAGTTTGAAATAAATAATTATCAACCCTTCGCAATTGAGAATATTGTTCTCGACAAATGTTCATTATTTTCTGATGAAATATCAATGCTATTTCCCCTAACTAAATAAGGAATACCTTGCATAAATTAAGTGACAGAACCATTGTATTTCTATGCTGCATCTGTTGACATATTATACCAAATATTTCTCGAATGCAAAGAGTCAAATCAAAATCCTCATTCTACAATGTTTCTACAAACATGGCAGGGTTCAGATTACTTTTGAGCAACAATGTCAGCAAAAAGACCTCTCAAACTTTCTCTGCAGTGGTCAAATAAGTGTATAACAGCACTTATTCTTGGGTGCAACGATGGTTTCGTACGGTATGCCAAAGGAACCCGAGTGAAAAGGATTCAATAGGACTCATGGTGGTCCATGGTGCAGATTGTGCAGTTCATAGGCAAGGTGACAGCACTCTGAGTCGCTCCAGCGGTGCTGATCCCTGACCCTATCCGTGTTCATCCCCGTGCAAGGTGTGATTTCGGATACCTGGATCAACAATCAACCATTTCTCCTCAATTGTTCATGGATTACGTGGGTTGCTGCAAACCTTTCACAAATAGCTTTGAGCTAATGGTTTTACTCTTTTCCAAAAGATTCTCCTTCAACATTAACGCATGTTCCAGTGTGTTCTGCCAGAACTTTCTACAGTTAAACATCTGAAGCTACACAAGAATAAGGAATATCTGAATGGCAACATTAGAAATGGCGGATCACTGAAACTTTTGCAGCAACCTACGTGTAAGCAGGGTGACGAAGGGACTCACATTGGAGCAGAAAGAGAGTAACGATTGATCTGTGTATTTGCTGCATAATGGCGAGGTGTGTCTGGGTTGCTGGCTCTGACTACCAGGAAGCACTGCTTGACCGTTGCCTGCGATCTCCAGGTACCCCCTGCTGCTGGCTAGACTACCTCCTCGCGTACCAATATCTGGAATCATCCAAACTCACCGTTTAACAACTAGTTTAGGGTACTGCCAACTAGTGAAAGCCAGAGAGCGTGTGAGAAGATGGGACTGAAGCAGAAACAAGTGCTGAGAACAATAAATGAATTGGACGTTGAGAGGGATTTGAATTATTCAACGGTCCATGAGACAATGCAGTCTTAATCCTAGAAAAACTGTACAGAAACAGTAGAAGCTTTGTTGACTAATCATTTACATTATTATATTACTATCTTTCTATACTGTTATTTATTATTCTTTATATACTATGTATACTATTTGACCCTTTGCATTAGACAATATTTTTCATTACAGACATTCATTATTTTCTGACGAAATATTTAACAACATTATTTGCAACTTACATAAAGGAACATCTTACATAAATTATGGGACAGAACTGTTTTATTTCTGTTTCATGTGTTAGTACCTTATTCAACATTTTGTATTGAATTTTTCATTTTATAATTTTCCTACGTTCAATCAAATGGCGACTGAGAGTGCAAAGGGTTAATTGTCTTTAAAATATTAGTCTTTAACAAAATTGCATGTAACATGCAATATGATATTTTTTAAGGAAGTATTGAAAATATTTAATTATTAAGAAAGATATATACATAAGATATTTAGTTTTTCCAGGATTAAGGACTCTCCAGGCCGAGTTCTTTTAAGAGGATTGATCCCATTTATGGAGTCTTCGGTTGCGTTTGCTAGAGGTAGACCAGAGGATTGTCTGGATAGAGAGGACACCTTGTGTACTCGCCATCGAGTGAGTAGAACGTCGAGCATTTCTGTCGTGAAGGAAACAGAGCCATGGATCCTTCCACCAGGGTGGCCTCTTGGACCTTCTGCCCAGCTTTGAAGCATTGCAGCTGCAGGTGCTGCTAGAGTGGGTGGACGGTCTGGACAGCCATTTAGCGCGTAAACGGGGCAACCTCTGACTCCTGATCGCCCTGGACAGTTCCGTGCGTACTTCGCCATTCAGGAAACAGTACAAGACAGCCACGAAGAAACCCTGGCGATGAGGAAGAAGTTGAATGTTAGCTGGATGTGCAAATGGGATTTTATTTTGTTTATATTTCTATTTGTTTACTATTAATAACACTAATAACTTATTATTATAGATAATTGATAATTGGTACTAATAACATTAATGACTTACAGATAATTGATAACTGGTATTAATAACATTAATAACTTACAGATAATTGATAATTGGTATTAATAACATTAATAACTTACAGATAATTGATAATTGGTATTAATAACATTAATAACTTACAGATAATTGATAATCAGTATTAATAACATTAATAACTTACACATAATTGATAATTGGTATTAATAACATTAATGACTTTCAGATAATTGATAATCAGTATTAATAACATTAATAACTTACAGAATAATTATTATTCTTTAAATTTCTAACGTTGTTATCAGTTACTGTTCCCTAAGTTATTTATTTCGTTCATTTGCAGTTACGTTTTGTTAGTTAGTTAATCTGTTCATAATGATATTACAATGCAGGTGTTTAGATAATAAGGTGGAATAGGGATGTTAAAGATTCTGTACCTGAAATGATGCAAAAAACTGGTCGCAAAAGAGCCAGACAATTTCGACGGTCTCGTTCACGCCGATACTGTAAGACATGCCCAGGAAGACCGTGTAGTGAACACCAAAAAGTGGTACCAGGACTAAAGTGCTCTTCGCCCATCTCCTGGAAGTGACACAACAGTGATTGATGATTGAAGTTACTGGTGCTAAACTAACAGCATCGTCATTGTCACTTGAAACTGGGCCGTGTAAGCCAAGCCAGAGGAAGCGGAAGAGATTAGAAGGAATCTTACTTGTATCTTTGTGTCTCCTCTGAAACTGTCGACTTCAGCTTCAATAGAAGGACCCTGACAATGTTCACGAACAGCACGAAGTTGATCTATGGAATTACAAGAAGAAATTCCTATTAGATAAACAAATATAAGAAATAGTTATCGTGTGCATTAAGAGCTAAATATAAAATGATTAAAGTATGAATTTTAATAGATACATAAGTGGAAGTAAAATTTCTTTATTAGGGTATGAAAAAGTATTAAGATATTCCGAAGGCTTCTAAGTACTTGATAAAATGGTACTCATTAAGGTAATTGTTTGATCTGCTTTATTGTTTCATTATAAAATGAAGAGCACTGTAGTACCGTGGATTCTTTCTTCAAATTATGAAACAGCATGTATCTGATACTTTCTACTTCTTGATAAGATGGTACCATTGTTCCAAGGAAATAAAGAGCATTGTAAGATTGTAGAAGTGACAGACATTCTTGCAAGTACTTAGTAGCTACTTAACAAGAAGCTACCATTGTCTTACCAAAATAGACAGCATTGTAGGCACTCGAATGAGCAGGAAAAGATAAGAATTCTCATGAGTGGTCCAGCAGTATTTGTTGTCTAAAGTTATTCTTGTGACAATCCAACAAGACACAAATATAGCTGGCAGGCCTGAATAATAAATAATACTAACTTAGTTTATCTTAATTTTTCTGTTGTCCGCAGGAAAGAAAATAATTTATTAAACATTTTACCCCATCCAAGACACACGTAGCCAGTTATACTAGAGTTCACATCAGTGAAGAGTGCCAGGAACACCAAATTGTGCAAGTAAAGTCCCTCCATCAGTATCCAGAAGTAATTGGCAAGGATGAAGTACTGCCAGAAACTGGTGAACGCCTTGCACAGCCAGCTGCTCTCTTTCTCATCCACCAGCCAATACGTTTTGCCATTTTTAATCATTACGTCGGATGCCAGAGCGATCCCAGAGACAAACAATATGTCCTTCATCAGGGCCATGAACGCCCTCAGCATAAATGAGGCGAAGAGGTGCATGTGGAGCATGTTCCTTGGGCACCTTAATTTCCTACGTCCGATTTGGAATAAACTTGGAGTAGTGATCCGAGATATCGATGATTGAACAACGGAGAACATTTTGGAAGATGAGATTTTCAATTAGGATTCGGAGCTAAGTCATAACTGAATATGTTCATTGATCATCTATTTTGTATCTGTGTATACTAGTAGAATAGCTTAAAAGAGGATTTTAATGTCATTAAGTTAATTTAGATCCCAGGTCTTTAATTATAAATTTGGGAGTAGATCCTTTAATTAGGTTTGCGATATGGATTCTAAAATTTGAACACTGAAACTTTGAAGTGTTCAGTTTTAGGCTTGAACCTTTCGATTGTGGATATTTAAATTTCAATCCTGGACTTCAAACTTTGGAGCCTGAATTACAGATTATAGATTTCAAGTCCACAATCTAGGATCAGAATTGTAAACTGTTAAGATTATTGACTTTAATTTTTAAATATTGAATCTCAGACACTAAGGATCTAAGTATCGCGTTCGAAAATTAATTAAAAACAGCTGAAATTTCGGAATCCTGGAAACTAAATCCTGAACATGGATCTTAGGTCATAATCCGTAAAACATAAACTGAAAATTATGAATCTTAGCTTCTCCTTAAATTACAAACTATCTACCTCAAACTCCAAGCCTCCATATTAAGCTAATACTCACTTGATCAAGGCCAAAATGAAAAAGGCGACCACTAAGGTGAAAAACGAAACAGTGTACCCCACTTTGGATATAGTCTTCACTATGGGCACGCATTTCTGCAACAGGAATTATCACAGTGAAATTGTTTACAGGCTCCCTGCAATAGTTAACTGCATAATTACACTATAATTTGATAAACCGAAGGGAAAGCGGGGGCCAGGAACATCCGTAACATAATCGATACACATTTTCCATAATGAACGAGTCCCTCAATAATGTGTTTCCTAATATTCTTCCTCAGTTAGCCACATTGATCAGTGGTTTTGAAGCATTTTGTCCAAAAGCATCCAAATTAGTCGAAGAGAAAGTAGACGAAAGTGAGCAAAAGCAAGAATACTTTAGAAACAATGTCAACATATACGAATATTGTATATACCTATAAGAGCAATGTAGGGGCTAGATCATTATGAGAACAATATTTACATATGCAACTAAAAAATTTCGTATAGACACTAAGAATTAACAATTTTTCTAGAAATGAATGCATTTGTGACAAAAGCTTCCACTGATATATTGACAAGAAGAAATATTAAGCCTACTGGGTGGTTCAGTTCGTTTCTGAATTAAAAGAAAATAATATATTTTCAATGCACTCATTAATATTTACTGAACAATATAATTGCCAGCGTCAGTTATGACTTCCTCCCATTGTGATGGTAATTCGTGGAATTCGTTTCTGTAGAATGACTCGCCTTTAATAATTTAATCTTAATATACCTTATATTGGGTCAATGTCAATATCATTGTCATTGTCATTCTTATCGTTATTATTATGTTACGTTATGTTATGTTATATTATATATAATATTTAATTTTTCATCTTTAATCTTAATATCATTTTTTAATGTTCTAACTAGTTCTTCGTTCTTTGAAAAACAGTGAAAACTGAGTTCATTGGTTCTCGCGTCCAACCCTTTCTTTGTACAGCGAGTTTTTCTTAGCGCTCCCGTTGCCTTCTAGAAGAATGGCTTCGGTTAGAAAACGATTCGAGGATGAACAACATGGAGACAATGGGTAAGCCGAGTGGGACGAATGTGATCGTTGCCAGAAGCTGCTGTATGTATTCCATTTAAAACCGTTTGACGTCATTGACATAATTTCCATCGATTTCCAGTGGCCGCAACAGCTCCAGTTTCCTTGGGGAGTTCACCACGACGTTCCCGTAATTTTCTCTAGCAAGAATACTTCTTCGGCTAACGAGTTACCGGCGACGGACAAGCGAAAATATTTCACGCGACAACCTGAGAATTAGAAATGGAGCCTGCGTCGGATTCTTCGAGTCCCATTGAGACTTGCTGGAGACTGTTTCTTAAATATTGGATTTACTGGTGCTCTGACCCTTTGAGACCAGTTTTTTATAATCACTTGTTGTGATACCGAATTTTTAAAAATTTTATTTATTAGATCGCTCTATAAAAGTGTATTTATTAGAAGGTTTTTAAAATTTTATTTGCCAGAATGTCTTTTAAAATCTGATTTATTACATTATTTTTAAAACATTCTATTTATTAGGTCGTCTTTTAAATTTTATTCATTAAATTACATTTTATTCAATGATGTTTTACTAATTATTAAGATATAGATATTTTTTTAATTGATTATTATGAATCAAATATATGAGGACTATTTCTAAATTACTGAGTCATTAGCATTTCGATTTTGAAGAGTTCTTTTTACTATCAAATCTTATAATGTTTTACTTTTTGTATAATATTGTATTATTATTTATTATCGTGCAATATAATAATACATTGTCAATGATATCCTACTGATTAGTTATTTTACTAACAAAATCCTGAATAAAATACAGTTCTTTAATGACTGGATCATTTGTAGTTATATAAAATAAAAGATTGAATAAAAGAAGAATAAAATATTGTAACAAGTAATAATCAAAATAAGAGTACAGAGTTATTCATTTTGTAATGTTATGTTTGTTATTTATTATATTCATTAATTAATCATTTTATTCGTCATTGATTATTAACTACAGTAATGAGACCTTGCAAACATAACTTATTAATTAAGTACGTTGCTAATTAAGTATTCTGACGCAAACTTCCTGATGGAAATATTCAGAGAACAATAAATTATGCATACAATACATGCTCTGTACGGAATACTCAATTGTTAGTACATTATTACGTTATAAATTGATTTTGTAATTATTTTGTCTTTTTTCTATTATCTTCTGAAACTCCTACCTTATTTTCATATCATTTATTTCAATTTTGTTATTGTCCTTTTAATAAGAATAATTTGTTTAAAACCCAATAATTCGTTTCTTATATCTCATGAAAGAGACACTGATAATTTAATGGTCTGTTGTCAAAGTATCAATTCTCTATAACAAACGACAGACAGCTTGATCACAGCAAAACTAATCAGCACCACTAATCTGGAATTAATTACTTCTCGTCAGCAGTCAGGATATCTCTCTAAATCTAAGAACTTAAATCTTGCCACTTCTTATCTCACATTATAATAGATCATTTTAATTAGCTTTGAAAGAAATTAGCATAACATTGTAGAATCTTGAAAATAATTAATTTTTTAACCCAAATTTTCTATTATACATTTTTGGTATTTTAATTGTTACGAGTTTTTTATCAATAAAAAATTATTTTAATTTGAACAACCCATCAATGTCAAACATTTAATAATCAGTTCTTGTATATTACTAATTAAGTAATTATTAACCTACTCAGGATTAATTAAGTAAGTGACAGGTTGCAGTAAAATATAAAAAAAAAAGATTGAAAGATACTTTCTACGTTTAAACACTAGTTTTATATGTTGAATGCCGTTGGGGTCACCGATGACCCCTAACCGAATCAATTACTATAGTTTACTCGATTAAACTATGATTATTTGCAAAAATTTATATATTATAAATAATGCTACCTAATGCGGTGACATTCAGCTAGATAAACATACAATAATAATAATGCAATTCAATCAAATTGATGTAATATTATATTTTTATTTTAGATTTGGGTATTTTGTTCTATGAAAGCGTGCGGCATTCAACGTGTTAAAACGAAACAGTGAAGTTTTGAGAGCGTAACGCAAGTCAATTTTTAAATTACAGAGGCGGAAGATATGTACACCTGCACACTGTATTTCGTCCAGCACCTTTCAAACAATTTTTCTGCGAATTGTTTTTCCAAACATTATATGAGATTACTGAAGCTCTACTTAACTAATCTCTTTCAAATTTTACATGTACAATTATTATTATATTGTTTCTATTGTTCATCATTTTTGAAAATATAAACCATAGAAATTTCATTTTAAAGAAAAAACGGATTGTTAATATTTATAGTTGCCTCGTGGGTGTTTTATTTATATTAAAGTTCGCCTACCGTTTTGAGATTTGTGTATTTAAAAAATGACAAAGGTTACTTTAAAGTTCATCAATAAATTCTACTTGTCCAACTAGAAAGTGAAAATTAGAAAATTTCGTAATCAGGTAATAATTTTCTTATCCCTACTTTTTCAATATTTGAAATGTGTATACAATTTCATAATTTGTAGAATTAGAAAGTGGCACATATTATATTAAAATTCTCCAATAAAGATAGAACATTCCCAAATCACTTAATAATTTTGTTATTCCTACTTTCGCGATGTTCAATTTGCATTACTATTCAATAATGATTCATATATCATTTAATAATATTTTTAACCTAATTCAATTATTCAAATTTTTCAATGCGTATTTGAAACACGTAGATAATTAAGTAATTCATGCAATCAAAATGTGGCAAATATATCAAAACTCTCCAATAAAGAGAGAAAACATTCTCAAATAACCTTATAATTTACTTGCTACAGAACTTTCCTAACCCTTCGCACTCGAGAGGCGCCTATCACTCGCCATTTGATTTGACCCAACAAAATGACACAATTAAAAATTCAATATTAAATTTCCTATAATGTATCAACACATGGGACATCGAAATAAAATAGTTCTGTCACTTAATTTATGCAAGGTATTAGTTGTAAAAAGTGCTATTGATATTTTATCAGAAAATAATGAACATGTTAGAAAGGGTAACGATTTTGTTACTTGTTCGTTTATTTGTTTTGTCTTTCGTGATAATAGTCCTGTTGTAATAAGATTTGTATTCTATTAACACTAGGTTTATGGGCATTTATTGTACACTTCATTCTATCATTCCTAAAAGAATTGATGCTCGTTTATTTAGATTGTGGAAACTGGAGATTTGATAGTAGGTAATTGGGGTACATGTCAGTGTGATCGCATCAATCAAAATCGGCGCAAACGTTTACAAAATAATATTTCTAAAATCCAATATGCGTCAATTTGACGCGTTCCGTAAACCTAGTGTTAAATAAATAATAAAGAAGTGTTATTATTTATTAAACCCAACAGAATATTTGTCGAGGAAAATATTCTTGAATGCAAAGGGTTAATAACATTTGAAATATCCAGACAAATCGAGCACCGCGATAGAGTGAAATATAATATTATCAGAACTGCTCATAATCTGTTCCTTCAACTGATTCGATCCAAGGAGCTTAAGCCCTTTGTGCCTTACGGATTCCCGTCGAACGGGTGCCTAGCGGAATCTAATCGTTTGAGGAAGCGTTTACCTTAATGAGCGTGTCGTTGTTCTCCTGACCACCGGGCAGCTCCATCAGAAGAGTTACTAATGGATCCCTGTAACACTGGCTGTAGTTGGTCCAGGTGCTGCTGGTGCCATTATTCCAAAACCACTGACCGTCCAACATGCACTGCCTCGATGCATTGGCCTATTAAATCACAATTATGTATGATGCATACGTGATTATTACGTTATACTGCGAATTACCGGATAGAACAACAAATTATCTTCTATTACACGTTTATTTATGACGTTGTCAATTATTCGGTAGATCAACAAGTTTTCTTCATATACTATTGCATGTTTATCTTTAAATCTTTATTTATAACATTGTAAATTTCTGGGTAAAACAATAAATATTGGAATATTAACATTGTTTCATTTTCTGTTACATATTTATTTAGAACATTGCCAATTACTGAGTAGAACAACAAATTTTCTTGGAATAACATTCCTTCACTGTCCATTGCATAATTATTTATAACATTATGAATTTTCTGGATAGAATAATGGACTTTCTTTTATTAATTAATATTACTCCATTTCACATTACAGTATTTGATTTTTAAATATTTACTTATAACACTACAAATTTATGGGTAGAGCAACCAATTTTCTTGCACCTGTTGGACGAATGTCGATTCATATAAAATCAACGTAAAATGCTACGAGTGAACCTGGCGTGTGCGTGATTTCTGTTGTTTTGGTATTCTACGGTTATTCTGTCAATTTGATCTGTGGATTTTATATTTGGTTTATTAAATATCTTATAATAATACATATTACACTGCGTAATTCTATAGTATTGACATTTTACTTTTGAAGTGGTCTGTCATGGTTGGTTGTAACGGGAAGAGGGATTTGCAAAGAATAGAGGGGAAGGAGAGTGTTTCATCCGGGATCTACCACTGGAATCGTTAGTGGCTTTCTGGCGATGGACGCGATCCGGGAGCAGGAGGTTTATGAGCGGTATATACAGGGTGTCCCGCGGCTCATGGTCAACCGGTTAGGAGGTCACTCTACATGTAAAAATGAGTCGAAAAAATAGAATAAAATCTTTTCCTGCGAGTCTTCGTTTTCGAGAAAATCAATTATTTTCAAGATTCTACAATGTTATGTTAATTTCTATCAAAGCTAATTAAAATGATCTATTACAATGTGAGATGAGATAATTTATTTAAATACAAATAAGAATCAAAACAAGAGTGTATAGTAAGATGCACAAAGTCGACATGTACCGAGTGTACACGTACCGAGTAAATTCTTGACCTCGATTTTCTCGAAAAGGAAGACTCGCAGGAAAAGACTTTATTCTATTTTTTGGACTCATTTTCACATGTAGAATGACATTTTAATTGGTTAACCAGGAGTCGCGGACACCCTGTATACAAATTGGTACGGATTGAACAGAAACGAGAAAGGCTCTTAAGTCTCGTAGCCCTCTATCGATAGAGTGTATGAAACTACCGCCACACTTTATTGTTTATTACATGTTTATTCATAACATTGCGAATTTCCGGAAAGAATAGCAAAATTTCTTCTATTATTTAACACGTTTTCGCAGGATTTCGCAGAGCGAAATACAAAAAATGGAAAAAAATATACTACTAAATCATTTGACTGAATTACATTACTATTATAGACGTTAAATTAGTTGAATGTCACTCCATTATGTAGTATTACTTATAATATAGAAAAGTTTTCAAATAATCATCGTTTAATTGAATGAACTATAGTAATTCGATTTGGTCACCGATGACCCCCACGGCAATCAAGTTGTTAATATTTCCTCATTTTCTATTACTATTATTTTTAACCCTTTGCACTCGAGAATATTTCTCTTAACAAATATTCATTATTTTCTGGTGAAATATTAGTGATACTTATTACAACTAATATAAAGAAATATCTTTTATAAATAGGGATAGAACTATTTTATTTGGATGTTCCATGTATTGATACATCATGTAAAACTGAATATTGAATTTTAAGTTTTATTTGTTTTGGGGGTTAAATCAAACGACGAGTGAAAAGCGCCTCTCGAGTGCAAAGAAGAGTTCCATGTTTATTTATAACATTGTGAATTTCTGGGTAAGGCAATTAATTTTTCTTTTGTATTAACATTACTTCATTTTCCATTACTACAATAATACATTGTCTTGTTTATTAATCCAGAGGAATTCGAAGCAAATGAACGTTTTATTCGTTCATTTATACAGCATTCTCGTTTTTCAATATTTAATAAAAATGAATATAAATGCTATTTGGTTCTTTGGAGTTTGAAGTTAAATATTGCTCTTCTGTTAACTGATTGCTATGCTTTGGAATAAAAGTAAACAGAGAGAGAAAAATTAAAATAAAGTTAATTGAATTGTCTGAAATGTTTTATTGCATTACGCGTGAAATATATGGATTAATTATTGTAAATTTAATTTGATGAATTAAAGACAAAGATATCAGAAAATTGAGAACAAGGAATTTTCGGAAATTTTTTGTAAGAAAACTGTAAAATGTAACAATTTAAAATTTCGTACTCTTATTCAAATTCTTTTTTCCAAAAATTTTTGATTTCTCCAAGATTACATAATACATAAATATTAATTGTTTTTGAGTAAAAGTGTTTGTTTGATTCAAAGTTATAGCAGTTGCAGTAACAATTTTTAAACTACTATAATCCAATTATTTTTATTGGCAATTAGTAGTAAATTTTAGTGTAAATAACAACTTTTTGTATAAGATTCGTCAGTTTCTATAGAATTATTATAACATACAGTAAATATTTTTACTTTATAACGATATTGTATGGTCTACAAACCATAATTAACATTTACACGAAGTTTGAATTTCATAGCTTTAGCAGTTTCCGTCAGACAAACGTACCGAGATCGTTTTATCTATTTGTAACTTCGAGAAAGGACCTTTAATGTAACTATACAAAAGGGCTTTTCAGAGGATTTCAGGGGTTTGACTAACATAGAACCTAAACTTCAGGCAGAGAGAACCTTTGCGGCTTTGTGGCAAGTGCTATTTCTGAATTATTCAGCTTATTGCCTAAGTTCTTGACTTCCAACAACTTTGTTCTGCGGTTCGTGCGTGTAGATTAGTTTATGAACTAAGTTCTTGTTGTTTACTGTTACAATGGAATCTAATTTCTACATTTCTCACGATTTAGTAGTTTACATTCATATCACAATTATTATTTTGAACTTTGGTCATTTATTATTTCCAGAGATGTATCCTGTAGACGTATAACAATAAATAAAATAAAGGAATTATACTATACAGTTAGTACTACAATTACTTTCAAATGTTTATAGTCTTTACAACATATATATAGAAAAGAAAATAATTGAAAGTATTATGTAAAATGTAAATTAAGATTTCTTCAATATCTCAATTATTTAAGTTTTTATAAACGATTGAAACCAATTTTTTAGAATAAAAACAGGTTTTCGTACTTCAAATGATTGCCATTTCTATAATAATTAAAATTTCGGAAGATCTGTACACTACATTTTAGATAACATATTTTTATTTATAAATCCAACAAAATTTTTGTCTTCGGATGTTTCGGTTTGCAATCGAGTCCGCTAACAATGGATATTTTACGAGAAATGGTTTCGAAGCTAGCGAACAGCTGCACCATTTTATAAGATTTTGGCTTAGAAAAAGTATAAATAAAAGTATAAGTATAAATAATTAACAAAAAAATTCCTAAATTTTACCTATGTTTAGAACATCTTTCAGTGGAGTTTCTTCTTAACCTCTTACCCTATGATTCCATTTCGAACTGTCATCGATCTGACAAACTTGTTATTAATAATTTACTGAAAATAAAAGAAATCTCCAGTCTTATTCTATGTAAATATGTGCTCTAAGGTATAATTGTTGATAACAGAGGAATAACACCTAATTCGCATTGAAATAAATTAAATATTTGCTTTGTTAACACGTTGACTGCTGCGAAAAACATCAGCGTATTATGTATCACTTATCCTTTCTACATCACAGATACAAAGCAAGAATTATTAATTCTTTGATATGAAAATTCTTATATTACCATATTATCTAGTTATTTACGTCACGGAAAGTTTGTATTCGAAATCAATTATCTTCTAAGACATAATTATCTTCTTGTAATTTGAAAGCTCCGGTCATCGGTGACCGCCGTAGCAGTCAAAACGTTAACCGTTTGCGGACGAAGATTCTTTGAAACGTACAAAACCTTAAATAAATAAAGCTAAATTATATAGCAGTTGCTTAATTAACACGTTCCCTGCCGCGTGGGCGCATGCGTATACGCCCTACGCGGCGTGGTAGTCACTATTTTTTACTGCGATTTGTTTTAAGGTTAAAAAATGCGGTTCCCAATCGGTAAGAAACTGCACTGTAAAAGTTGCAACATTCTGTAATAATTGTGTGGATAAACCACATTTATGTTTGCCATGTTTTAACAAAGTTCACCGTAATATTCCTTCCTGATTATATACAAACTTATGACATAAATATAATATTAAATATATTTCAACTAAAATGTTTTATTTTAAACTAATATAGACATCATAAAAAAATATTATGCCCGAGGATGCGACTCGCTCGGTAGAGTAATGTTCAGCCAGGTATTTATTAAACTAATTCCTAAAAAAATAAATTTATTGCTTTGTTGTGCTATGCATCTTAAACTATACACCCTTTTCTTGACAGTTATGAGTTTTGCATTATTTTAATCATTGTAAGGCATACTCCAGAAACGAAACAATGCAGTTGTAAAGCGTGGGGCGCATACGCCCCACGCGGCCTGAACGGAGTCTTCAAAAAACGGTCTGGCAGGGAACGTGTTAATAGAGAAAAAGGAAACTAAGTGCTGATCTCTTGCTGTTCAAGTACTTAAATCATTCGTTTGCCATTTAGTCTTCCAAATATGAAAATTTCGTTTCGCCGGAACGTAGACATTCGTTCGCAAAAGGTTAAATTCTATTTGAAATTCTCACCACGAGTTTTATACAGTAATGTAAGGCAAGAGGTTAATGATTGGAAGAATTCGTTCAAAGTGGGACCAAGTGGCCGCGAAATTTGAATTTTAAACATTACCTGCACGTCGAAGCCGGCGATATAAGACGGACAGGACGAAATGGCGAGATCCCCAGGTGCGGTTGACGGCCAGCACAATATTTCGTCCCATACTTCCGGGCACCAGCCTGTTTCATAAAAATCATTTTTTCTTTTAAGTCTGTTCACGTGTGTCGTGTGCATTTATTAATTTTCTCTTCGCTCGAGATACTTCTTTTTCAACACTAGAACCATGTATTGATCTTTTCATTATGATTGTTATGCAAATTTGTATGGAAATTATAAGAGTATACTCTTTCAATTTTTGCTGATGTTTATTAGCAGATTGCGGATCTTTATGTAAATTGAACATTTTGAGAATGTTATTAGAGATTAGGATAAAGAATGGTTTTTTCGTACGAAAGATTATAAGAAAACTTCGAAGCAATCAATATTTATTTTACAATCGATATCTTCTTTTTTGTTTAATGTCGATTTGTGTTTAACTCTCTGAACTAGTTAAAATTAAATTTATCTGTTTAAAGTATTTACTCTTTTTGATATAATTTGTTAAATAACTATTTAGTTATACTAATGAAATAATTGAATGAACTTTATTTAAGAAAATACTTCGTTTTATTATTTGTATATTTTTATAATCGCTGTTCTTTTGGGTATTGTTTATATATACTTATAATTTTATATTATATCGCATGCAATCGGTGGAATTTCGACCTTTCAAATTTTCCGAAAAGACATACAGATCTATTCGTTACATTATGTAAGCGAAATGACTATTTTTTTCAATAATTTGGTAAAAGTATCTGTATTTACAAGTATAAATATATAATTTTATGTATTTATGAAAAATATATTCGATTAAAATTGTAATTAATATTTTATAAAGTATTCTAAAATATTTAACACACTTGTATTGTCAATAATTGCAAAATGAGAAAACTATAACCAGTAATTTTGACGGCTACGATAGTTTTAGTGGTAATCAATACTTTTTTATTAAATTTGAGTCAACAAATATGAGTAGAACAGTTTGAAGGAAATTACACAATTTTCTTGCTCTTCTTTTATAGAATAAAGAATTCCTGTACGATTTTTTTGCTAGATTTGTTGGTTTGAGAGGATTTTAATGTTGATAAAAATGGAGTTTGTAAATATTTTCTGAAGAATATATATTAATGGAAGGATTATTTTTTAGCAAATTCAGAAACGAAACCATTACTTCTAGCTGTCAGACCAAACATCCATTCATTCAATTGACAATGGAACGTGTCTGTTATTCTGATAGGATTTCGTCAAACGACGACAATGGTTTTTTCCATCGTAAAACTTCCTTTTACCATGAACGAGGAAACCGGAATTGCTTTTCCAAAAATTTTTTCATGTCTGGTAGTAACTTTTATATTTCTTCGAAATTGTTCAAATAAATCCAAATGCATTCAAATATTGGAAAATGTTTATGTACCACTCACTTTAGAGCAAATGGACCTAAAATTGTAATAATGTAAGTACGTGATATTATATGATAGAACACAAGTACTGAATGAAAATCTTTAGACAATATTGTCTAAGAAATAATTTCATTAAGACATTATTCACTAAAAATTACTTCTGTTAATAGCAGATATGTAAAAAATAACTCCATTCAGAAATTAGTCACAAAAATGATTTCCCAAGATGAATATAATTTAAAAGCTATCCAATTCTCTAATTAATTTCCAAAAACTAATCCATTTTAGAAATTGTTTAATTCTCTAATTAATTTTTCAAAATCAATACAATTAAAAAATGATCCAACTCTGTAATTAATTTCTGAAAATTATTACAACTAAAAAATTATCCAAGTTTCTAATTAATTTTTCAGAATAAATACAATTCGAAAGCTGTCTAATGCCTCAATGTGCCTTTCAAAGTTAATACATTTCAAGAACTCATCTTCAAAACTCAATTTCACTTGAAAGTACATCTCGAAAGAGGAGTTTCCTTTAAAATTAATCTCCCGGAAACAACGTCTACAATGAAACTAACTTCCCGTTTCTTTTCTCAATCACTCGAATACTTCGAACCATGAACTTCAAAAATCACTTTCCCGGTATTCCCCGTTTCTTAATCCCCGGTCCTCGATGCCCAACTTTCCGGTTAGTTTATACACCTAATCCATTTGACGCGTTCGCGAATCGGGAGGATCGAGTGTCGAATTTAAAGCTGTCGGGAAACTGCGATGAATTCCGATTCGCCGAGGTGGAACCGGAAGTGGGCCGCACGTGCCTGGAACCTTCGGCGATCCCGAAGAATGTAATATCGTTCTTGTT